GTATGCTGGTAAGCGAGATTGGACGATAGTTAAGGGGGGAATGCTTATCACCTCCTTTGTGCAATGGAATCACCCTGGCTACCTTCCAGTCGTCAGGTGAAATGCCAAGTTCAAGCGACTGAGAAAATAGTTTAGAAAATATAACAGATGAATACATAATCGAGTTTTTCAAGAACTTTGAGTTAATATTATCAGGACCAGCTGAAGAAGACAGTTTTATATTTTCTATTAGTTTAACAATACCAGTGGGGTCAATCACGATGGGGTCCATAGGTATAAAATAATATTCCTGTAGTAAGCAAGATGGTGGATTAACAGAACTTGAAAACGAGTCAGCAAAAACATTGTTCAGGATCTCTGCACAAACATCACTGGGGATTGCACAACCGTCAATAAAAAGGGAAATAGATGACTTGTCTTTACTGTTAACAGTGTTCCAAAATTGTTTAGGACTAGTGGCTAGTAATGTCGGCAAGGTGATATAAAAGAAAGAATGTTTGGCGCTTTGAATAGCAGATTTGTACTCCACAAGAGCGTTGTGATAGGCTGACCAGCGATCCGGTTTGTTGGAGGACTTAGCAGGCCTAAACAAACGTTTTTTCTTATTGGAAAGCCGCTTGAGTTGGACATTGAACCAAGGAGAATTAGTGTGGGACGTTATCGATCGAAGCGGAATGTATCTATCCGGGAGTGATTTAACAATATTTTTAAAAAGGTTCCAATTTTCTTGAACTGATCGTTCTGAAAAAGAATCGATGTTAGCCATCCACAAAGAGAGCGAGTTCATTGTTAATGGCGTCAAAATCCGCTTTCTTATAATCTCGAATGAATTTGGCTCTCTTCGAGGGAGTAACTACAGGTAAATTTAACGTGATGTGTAACGTACAATGATCGCTGAGCTCAGGAAGATGAGAAATCTCAGAAACAAGATCGGGTGAGGGAGTTAATACAAGGTCAAGCAAACTGGCAGTTGTGGCTGTAACACGTGTGGGCTTTGTGACAAGCTGAGTTAAGTTGAAATCAACGCATACATTTAGAAAATCGAGACATTCTGAGGAATTGGAGGCAACAGAGGGACACATTCCAGTCCACGTAATGCTAGGATAGTTAAAATCTCCCAAGAGAAAGACGAGAGAGTTAGGAAACCTGGTTAAATCAAATTAAGAACGTCATGTAGCTCATTGGGGAAGGTGGCAGAACAATTCAACGGTCTATAACAAACACAAAAAACAATACGTTTATGGCTTGCACTAACGCATACACAAAGAAACTCAAGATTAGTTGAAATTTTCACAGAGAAAGATGTCATATTCTCAGATACAGCAATTAACACACCTCCACCGGATCTGAATTCCCTAACATAGCGATACACATTGAAACGCTTAAAGCACGAAAAAATTTCGCTGTCACGTACTTTAGCAGAGAGCCACGTTTCTGTGAGAATAACTAAATCAGCAGATGATGAATCTAAAACGGCATTAAGTGCGTCACGATTTTTTATGACACTGCGTATATTAGTAAAAATAATCGAAGTTTGTTTAACAGGCGGACGATGGCTGTTATTGCTGTTAATCTGCTATGATGATGTTTGTGCAAGGCTAGAAGATGACCTATTAGTCGAAGCGCTTGCTACGGCCTCCTGATGCTCTCCAAACTGAATTGACTGCAGTCTCAACTTGAAGGGCGATTCACACAATTGCGTGAGTTCGAGCGGGTGCGACTGCAACGGCTTGCGGCGTACGGGTTGCTATAGCAACAGTCGCGTCGGCTGCAAAAAAAAAAAAACGGTGTAAAAAAAGCGGATTTGTTGGAGCCGACGCGGCTGTTGTCATAGCTACCCTCGCACTCGGTCCGACTCAACGCAAGTGTCTGAATCGCCCTTGAGGGTGAACGGAGTATAGCGTTAAAGTTAAAGAACTCAGTTAAAGAACTGCCCATAGACTCTGCTTCCACAAGCAATACCGCCATGTCCCCCCATGGCTCGCCTCCCGTCGTTCGACGCACCACCGTTTTGGGAACGCCTGCTATGGTAGCATGAAGTGTTGGAGGGTGCTGCGCCATTTGCGCCAAATTGCGCCATGAGCGAAAACGTCTGCTACATCTTGCGCCAGAATGCCGTTTTGGCAAAGAATTGCTCAGCACCTTCGCCGGGATGGACTTTAACAAAGAAAAAAAAAATTCGACCCTTATATTCAGAAAAGTGGAAGGAAAGGAAAATGATACAAATATGTTTCACAGCGCTTTGAATCAAGGTAAAACGAAGTATAGAGTTTGTTCATCAAGCGCGCTGGCTTGACTACATCGTCTGAACTTCCAGACGATATCGGCGATATCAGAAGGTTAAAGTTGCGAGAAGACTTAACATAATGCTCCGTTGGCGGATACTGTAATAAAACAAGCAGTTTTTTTTTCTTCTTTTTTACTTGTGAGATTATTTGAATATAATGACTTCCACGTGCCTCCTTGCCGTGGCTAGAGCGTATCGTGCCAGCTCGCGTCCAACTACATATAGCTTCGCACCATCGTGTGTGCGTCGAGCTTCACTGCTTTGCACCAGTGTGCTAGGAGCAGCGGCTAATATGGGAGAGCGCTTGGGTGAGCGCAATGGGCTTGGAAATCATGCTCAGTACCTCCTTTGGTGGTGATTGCAGATTGATCTTCAATTTTAAAAAGCTCAGCTGAAAAAGGAAAATAAGAAGAAAAAAAAACGCGGATCTCTTTTTGAATAAATGCAGTAGTAAAAGTGAAAGGGCAACGAACTCTCGACTCAACTCTGAGCCCGACGCTGCTAAAGCGCAGTGTCACTTTTAAAGAACAACCGTAGGTTTCCATAATATTTGAAGGTGGTTGTTATTGCAGTTTATAATATTGGATTCTTGAGTTTGGTCAGCTCGTAAAACTTTGCGGGTACGTTCTAGTTTATCAGCGTTTTAGCGTGTACGCTGGTTTTCGCCGGCATTTGCAGAACTTATATTTACACGCTAAATAAACTACGATTGCAAAAAAAGAAGGGGTAGAGAGAATTTATCTCAATTGAATGGTTGCACTACACTCTAAAAAAATATCTGGCCGTAAATAAATCTTAGGCGTTCATCGGTTCACCCTAAAATAGTCTTTTAAGCACCCTCTAAAAAAGTTTCTCGTGGAAAACCTATAAGGGGTTCTTTTAAGCTCCTTTTTTTATGCGAAAGAGTGCTTTGTCGTCCAGTTGTCTTTCTAGTACGCTAGGGGGTGATAGAGCTTGAGGCGAAACCGTTCTTCACGAGTTAAAAGAGTTCTTTGGACGTCCATTAACTTTTCAAATATTTTTTTTCTTCGTACTTATTGTACACCTACTCTGATCTCAGTCTTGTTTCTAAAAATAAGCTGTGCGTTCCGTTAGCGTCTAATGCACTGCATAAGGTGATAAGCGATATGCTTCAGTATCACAGAGGAACCCTCAATCGTGCTTAAAAATATTCAATTGGTAATGCTTTTTTTTTTTATGTGATATGCTAACAGATGTTGGCATCTGCTCCGAAAGCGTCAGTGGCTGCTCCATACCAGTATTCTTTATGTTACAAAACTTGCTACGAAACCTCAAAGGTCACTCCGTCACTGTAGTAGCAGTGTATTTTATGGTATACATGTTTTGAAGCACAGCATCTCGATGGCGTTCGACCGCACTCTATGGAATACACAGTTTTCAAACGAAAGTCTAGATGTCACTTTAAACGACGGGAGCTCCACAACTGAGCTAATCTCAGCAGCGTTGGACGGAACCAAAGTTCTCAGGTCTAAGACCATTGACTTAAAACGGCATTTCGATTTTTTTATGGCGAAGTTAAGAGTGAGCGTGCAACGCTTCATGAGTGCTCAAGGTCTGCTAGCGCCCGCGCACCTTGCTCTCCACAAAGACGGCATTGTGAAGACCCCGCCGTGAAAGTTAGGCAAGGCACTAAAACTACACTGTAGTAAAACTATTCCACAGCCATAAACCACCATAATGACAAGCGAAAAACGAACTAGCTACTCCAGCGAAGAGGCGAGTCAACAGCGAGAGCAAATAAGAGAACTACAGTCACGCTGTCGACCTTTCGGGAAGACTTGCGGAAGACGCGGAGGTGTCGAGATCTCCGAACATCACGTCACGCTCCCTCCCAGCTTCAGTTTCGGCGCTATTTTGAAAGCGTGTTAAATAACTAATCGCCGCAGGAAATTGAAAAAAAATTAATATTTTGATATTTGTGATTTTGAGTGCCAAATCAAGACGATTCAAATGTTTTCGTCACGTACAGGAATATTTCAGTTTCCCTTTAACGTATAATGTATGCACGACTGCAAGCGAGACATCTGGCCGCCGCCCTGTCTCTGCTTATGTGAGCAAGTACGTGCAATACTTGCAAGCCTTACAAGGCTACCCTCGCGCGCACGCTGCACATGCTTGCACGCCATATCTGCAATCTCGTTTAGCGGCACGCTCTGCGTTGCGTTCTTTTGACGTGGGCTCGATAAAGTGCCAGGTGCATTTCCTTTCCCATCGACATAATGCTACGTGCCCTGTGATAGGATACCCTCAAAAAATATCGGCGAGGCTGAAGTTATGTTCGGGTCTAAAGGAGCAGTGTGCGCCCTTACGCCGAGCATGACGCAAGTACGAGAAACGTAATGAGCAGTGTCCCAACCGTATTTTCAGTCTCGTCATTCGCCGAGCCGCCTCCTTAGATTGCATCGATTGGCTCTCTCAAATGTTTTGCGGGAAAGTTGACGTTCCAGATTTTCAAAGTGTGGGGTTGGCTTGTACTACAGTCATTCCCGCAAACTTTGAAACGAGGAGAATCGGGACAGTGGGAAACGAGACACGTTATACCCGTTTTGCTCATATATTTTCACAAATTGTGCGTCGGCGGTGGATGCAGCGAGTGCCTGACTGCGGCCAGGGTCCCCTGCCCGCGTCTTGCAGCTGCACAGTTGGCCGTCGCCGTGAGGAGTCCCCAGCGTGCAGTTCGGCAGCTCGAGCCATGAAGATGCTGTGCCTCTTACTGGCGGCTGTGGCGGTCGCAGCCGCCACCGACAATTCCAACCGCGCTGACTTCCTCGAAGAGGTCAAGCGCCTCGACGCACTCGGCATGGACGACAAGGCCAAACACGGCGGCGAAGGTACCTAAGCGCCTCGAACGTTTAGGGCGCATCCCCGGTGCACGCGTCATGCTGTTGCTCCGCTGGCTTCTGGACATCCCAGAGAATACTTGCGCGCGGCGTTGCAGTGTTTCTTGGTACCTATGGCGTTACTGGCGGCTCTGCAATCGAAGATAATGTTTTGCTAGCTTGTTATTTTTTTTTTAACACCGCCACGTCATATCATTAAAGTTACATGTTCACTAAAATCAGCTCTTTCTTTTCTTTTTTTTTTTTCTTTTTAACGTGCACGATTTTTGGTGTAAATAGCCTTATAGAATCAATATTAAGTAGTAGTATGTCTGTGGACTTGGGCAGTGTGTTTTCCATCTCGAATTTTACGCACTGAAAGTTCTTCGATTTTGGTTTTCTTGTTTTGTTAATTCCGTCTGCGACCTCGTGTTTGTTTGGTTCATCTCGTTTCAGTCTGAAATTACCGAAAAGTGAGGCATAACATATAAAGATGTTATCAACATTATTGGCGGTAGATCGCGATAAAATAATTAAACTGGTTGGCAACGATAATACCCCGGTGGCAGTGGTGGGTGCCCGATGATCGGTACCCCGTGATGTAAATTGCAGGCGACCATACGGACAAGCCCAGCGCCAATGACTGCGACAAGAACAAGTTCCACGAGGGCATCGCCAACTGCGATAATGGGTTGAAGCCCTTGGAAAAGTACCTTGCGGAGAAGAAGAACGACGATTCTTGTAGGTGGGTGGAGCAGAAGACGGTTTCCATTCCTAGTTCCGTTCACCCTTCTCTGGTGTCTACCATTATTGAAGGGTCATGCATGCCCTTACAAAAGCGTGCAGTGGTCATGCCACAATTCCGTTAGCTTTCCTGCTACTGGCTGAACACGATGCATTGGAATTTTTCACCCGCAGGCTACTGAAGATCTATCTGTCCTGCATTGAAGATTTCCAGTTGTTCTTATCCTGCGAGAACGATCCGGCTTCGCATGCAGAAATGATCAAAGCCACGAACATCATCGTCAAAAATCACCTCAACTGCTCGGAACGTACGACCCTTGATTTTAATTCAGAATGGCGTGTGTAATGTTTTCAGTGAAGTGGCGATGTATATGGTATATCCACTGACCATTGTGAGCGCAAGCTTTGCTCTTGAGCGCAAGTTTGCGATGCTCTTAGCCTAACAGTGCGGAGCTCACGAACATAACGAGCTGACATCTCGCGAATGGATCCTAGTTTCAACAATACTACTATTCTCTCACAGTTGTGGAATTTGGGATTTTGTTTCATATCATTGCAGTTGCGTTTCTCACTGCCAATCTGACGTCAAAACTCCCTCCCCTAAACGTGGCTGCTGCTGCTAAGTTCACACAATCGCCATCTAAAGGTACTCTCACACTGGTCGGCCCAGTGTCTGCACAAGATAAAACGACGAGGATTATTTATAGTAATATGACCCCGTACGTTTCCGTGCTTGTTCAGCCCCGTTCATCAGCAAGAAATGCAGCGAACGAAAGCTCATGCGTCGGATGGTCGAGTGCCTCAAGTCCATGAAGGGAAACTTGGAACCGCTGCTGGAAAACAGGAAGACTAACCAGAAACTTATTTGCGCGTAAGAATGACTTCTATCGTCTAACATTGACATGCAGAGCTTGCCTTAAATGCGACGTTGGTTTTGTTTCACAGGCAAACGGAAAACTTTAAGTCTTGTGTAAACATTGCCTTGGGGCACACTGACTGCAATTCGGACGAAGAAGTCTTAGACCAGACGACGCACTTCATTGTTCACGTTCTCTACGAGCATCGCTGGGCTTGCAAGGACGTTCCAAGTAATTCTTCGTTCCCACGTAGAGCTCGGTTGATCCGGGCACTGATTTTATTTGTTCTCTTGTAACGACTTGCTTTTTGTTGTTTTTTCGCACAGCCAGCGATAAAAAATGCGAGGAGCGTTCTCTGGTACTGAAACTGAACCAATGCGTCCGACTGCTCAACAAAACTATTGAACCCATTTTGGAGGACAAAGAGAACAACAAGCTAAACATCTGCAGGTACAACCGTGATAATCTTATTTGGCTGATTTTGAAAGGAATAAATTCCCTGGCAATCCAATCCACTACGGGCACAAATGCATAACAGTCGTTCCCATATTGTGCCCTTGTCTCCAGTTTAATGAACAGGGTTTATATGTGACATCTTGCCTATTTCCAGGGCGAGTGACATTTTCCTACTTTGTGTCAACGAGGCCGTGTCTGAGACTTCTTGTCGCGAGGATTCGGAAGTTATGTTTCACGTGTCGCATTTTGCGGACAAAATTCTGCGTCACCACAAGTGGTCCTGCGATCAGGGTTCTGCTCCTTCTACCAGGCCTAGGATGGAAAGTAAGACACCCTTTTAGAGCGCCAAAAATGCTGCGAGCGTCTTCATTTCTGCAACGTAACGGCACTTCGTCTGCAAGAAATATACCGTTGCTGTGCTGGTAGAGTACGCAAGAGGCGAGAGGGAAGAAACCAACTATGTGCTTCGGAGGAAACGGAGAGTTGTGAAATAACAGGATTAAAACTGGGGTGTGCGACAGTAAGAGACGCAAACTTCACGTTTCTCTCTCGCTGAAGGGCTAGCTTTAGCAGAGCTTTTTTTCAGAAACGCAACAATGTTTCACTACAATGTTCGTGCCGTCAAGGCGTAAAATTCGTACGCTCATATGCATACATCATCACCGCATAGTAACACAAAATACATTTTGTGTTACTTTTGCCACGGTAATGCTGGAAAGGGGCGAATTTTCTACACGCTTTCGCTCTAGAGTGAACTCACAGCATGTTCCATTATTAATTTTATTTATTAATACTGTTAGCCTGAAGGCCGATACAGGGTGGAATTTCAAAGAAAATCACTTGTGGCCGATGTTTTGGCTGTTACACACACACACACACACACACGCATTAAACTTACGAGTTCAGAGCGTGTTAAAACATCTTGAAGCTGGATTTGCACTACTTCAGTGCGCGCAGTATCGTTACAAGTTATACTGATTGGATTTAGAGCACTATACGAATTTCGGAACACCCTAACACACACAAAAGCACGCGGACATAAAATGGCATGAAACAACAAAAAGCAATTATTATAACTGTAGTAACTCATTTTCAAAACCACTCAACGAGCCTATAGTTACTATATCATGGGGGAGGCGGTTCCATTCCTCTATGATTTTGGGGGAAAATGAATATTCGAAAGCATCATTACGTGCCATTATGGGTGTTATCTGGTTCGGGTGATTGCTTCGAACAAAACGAGCTGATCTTGGTTTTATCTATTGGTGAATGTCAAAGGTTGAAGAGGCTGCAGTGCATCGAATGCATAATTTTAATCTTGCTATTTTTCGGCGTTGCTCGAGATGCGGCAGGTTGAGCTGTTTTAGCATGTCGCTGACTGAATCGGTCGTCCTATATCTTGACAGCATAAATCTCGCTGCTCGTCTCTGAATTTTTTTCAACCCTGTTGATTCGGTAGGTTCTATACGGGTCCCGTACTATGCTTGCATATTATAGTATAGGGCGCACTAGGTTTAGGTATGCAGCTACTTTAGCGTCTGGTGAAGCGGCTTTAATTTGCGTCGTAATGACCGTAGTCTTCTTTCCGCTCAAATCCATATTTTATTTTTGGGACAAGGTTCAGGTTTACACCAATCAATTGAGATCTTCAGTTATTGTAACACCCAAGTACTTGAAATTACTTTCACGTGATTAGGGTATACCATCCATTTCATATTCGAATAATAAGATATTTTTGGTTTTATTTGTTACCCTTGCATACATGATTTTTGTGTAGTTTATTTTCATTTTCCAATCCGTGCACCAGTCATTAATCATTTCTAGCGCCGAGTTCAGTTTGACTTGGTCAGCATGATTTGATATATTTGAATAGATTCAGCAATCATCGGCAAATAGCCGAACCGTGAGGTCAGGCTGAGTTTATCTGCAGTGTCATTTATGCATCTCAAGAATAAAACAGGACTCAGCACTGACCTCTGAGGGACGCCCGATGTTACGTTTAGAATTCCTGATTTTGCGCTATTAACTTCTACAAACTGTGTTCTATTTGTGAGACATGACTGAATCCATTTGACAACCTTCAGGTTTACACCAAGTGTAAGTAGTTTCCTAAGAAGCTCTGCATGCGGGAAGCGGTCAAATGCCTTCGGTAGGGCGTCCGCATGAAATCTGCACGTAACTAATTATTTCCATAAGAATTCGCTCCCCTAGCTGTGCTTTGTGGCGGCATTTGTTGATTGACTTATTTCTGGCATCAGAATAGCATATTCATTACAGTGAAAATTTAACTCCAGAAACTTTCTGTTCGCTTGTATTCAGCATCAAGACATAGTCCTCGAAGACACTGTTTTGTTTCGATTTTATCAGCAGTGTCGGCCTGTATTTATGGGTATCTACTGGCTAATCATCTTTTCTCGCCTTTTATTTTTTTCCAGACCTTCGCCAGAGACTGGACGGAAATAGTTCTGGAAATGTAACTGGTGAGTAGGGTTCTAAATAAATTTGGTGGCGATGTTACAAGAATCGCTCGAGAACTAAAATTTACGTTTACCGTGATTTGCGCAGCTCCTGGCAGCAGCTTGACGCCAGTATCGTCGAATTCGGACAGCAAGTGTAATTTCGAGATGGTTCGCGCGGCAGTGGATGTATGCCAACAGTCAGCCTATGATGATATCAAGAAGAAAGGAATTTCTCAACCCAAGCATCTCTGCGTGTGAGTACACGTTGGCTGAAAATGTTTTATCTGCAATCTCTGATCATGGTGAGACCAGTCAGGGTCTACTGGCGGGTCCTGTGAGATCGACGGTATGTTTAGAGCAGACAGCTGTCGAGGCACGCTTACTTGCCAATATACGCGAGCGCATCAAATATTCACAACGTGATTTCTGTTTCCTCTTATAGACGCTTTACACAAGCGCCAAATTACAGCCGCCATTGCTGACCTTATCTTGTCTTACCGAGATGCCGAGCAACTGAAACGGTAGTTGACGATCCTCTACAAAGGCCGATGCTTTAGAAAAGGACACAGTTGAATCTAATGTGGCAATAACCTGGCCTGCTATGGTAATGATGAAGTGAAATAAACGGAATAGGAGGAAACAAAAACTGAAGGTCAGTTATGGCGGCGTCCATGCACAGCTGCTGCAAAGCGTCTATACCCGTTTCCACATGGGCAACTCGAATGCCATTTACAACGAATGACATTCGTGTGATCGACGAATCGGTTCGCGATCTGTGGCGCGGGGAACGCCCCACGCTCGGAGTGTCGCGCGCTGATTGGCCGATCGTTCAAATGTCATTCGTTGTAAATGGCATTCGAGTTGCCCGTGTGGCTCGGGTATTAGAAGAATGTAGATTAGTCCTAATACGGTGGGTGCTGTAATTCTACTGTAAGTTTCAAGGCTTCCGTGTGCATTTCCCAGTGAGCTGCGCGTGTTCAAGGACTGTTCCATCAAGGCGACCAAGAGAGACGGCTGCGCTAACGACAAGAATGCCGAGACGTACGTCTACGACCGGGTGAAGGACTCCTTCTACAAGTATCTGACCGACTGCCGGCCACTGTGGTCTGCAGCCCCCGCGTCCAGCGTCATCAGCCTCTCTGCATTTTCCTCTGTCGTTTTGGCAATTGTGCTGCAACCGCGGTTCTGAACTAGACACAGTCATGCAGTTCGCCTTTCGAAAGCAAATTCTCCAATTTGTATCTAATAAAATGAACGGAAAAGAAACGTTGGAAACGTCAGATGATCTCGAGTACTTCAGGCCGTCACACATAATATTGCTACCGCGCACACGCTGGCGTCGCCACCATTGCTCTAATTTACGTTACAGGGGACATAAGATAGCGAAGTTGCGATCTTTTAAGTTGGTAAGAATTAGAGCCTAGTCTCACTATACTTCCCTTTACGATGGACCGCAGACCACACGCTACGAGCCATCGAAGACGATTAAATGACGTGACCGTCACGTGACCTTCGGGAGAGGAGCAACGACGCGCGAAGCACGTAGTCACGTGACACGTTCGCAACGCTGGATTGGCTGGAATGGCTCGTAGTGTCCGCCGCGGTTCATCGTAAGGTGAAGCAGTCTAGAGAGACCAACAGCAACAACCGACATTGACCAACGTGGACGAGCAACAGACGACACCGACAGACTACCTGTTTGCCGGAGTCCCTCGTCCCACCTAATGGACATGACGCCAATGATAAAGACACGGCAACTGTTCCGCCGGTGAGACTGAAGTTGAGACGAAACACGGCGAAATACACCAACAAACCTAGTCGAGCGACGCAGTTCTCCCGTATTTCTAGATGGGCCAAATGCTTGCCGACAACCACGGCGAAAGGTAATTCTATTTTCGGCACGCACCGCGTGCAAAAATGTGCCGCTCGTGTACTACACGGCGGCATGTGGTCTTCCAGAACACACCTGATTGAATACATCCCCCATTGTTGCATACATTATGAAAACCCCCGAAAGAGCATGGGGCTAGCACATCCGTTCCATGGTTGGAGTTTCGGCTGCCTCGAATATGCTTTTTCGGCAGGTTCATCACACTCAAATTCGAGAACCTTTGATTCGCTTTAATTAGAGCGGTTAGCCATTTGTGTCGTTTGTGTATTTTTTCTAAACTACGTAGGCTTCAAATAGACACTTCCTGTCAATATTTATCCTCGTTTTCACTTCCGGCATGACCAACATGACCAATATAAACCCCAAGAATTATTTGTATCCCATGGGGCCTCGTTCATAATTAGCGCCCCTGACCGCCGTGCTCCTTACTTTAACTATAAGCTAGAATGCCTCCTCGTACAGGTGGTTGAAGATAGGACTTTTTTTGTAAGAAGGAAAGCATCCTGTGTACAAAAAAAAAATCACGCTAAGGAGAAGGCCTTCCGTGCGATAGATATGGCCCTTGGCTTCGACGACTAGAGTAAGTACCCGCAAGTACAGGGTGTCACAAAAGAAAATTTACGCGGTCTTTTTTACCGCAAAAATAAACTATGCATCGCCGAACGCTCATTCTCCGCCCGAAGGCAGAGCTAGAGGTCACAACCAGATGCCAAAGTTTCAGCCCGATCCGATAGCTTAATCAAAAGTTATAAGTGATTTTCTGAAAAGTTCAATGGGAAAATGGAGCCCATTTTTGCCTGTTTTCGGTTTCTGGTGCCATAGAGCCCCATGTGTTTGAAAACTCCGTCGGCCGACATTTCCACATTGAAATTTTCAGAAAACCGATAACTTGATTGAGTTATCGGATCGGGCTGAAACTTTGGCATCTGGTTGTGACCTCTAGCTCTACCTTTGGGCGGAGAGTGAGCGTTCGGCGATGCCGAGTTTATTTTTGCGGTAAAAAAGACAGTGTAAATTTTCTTTTGTGACACCCTGTACTTACCGTAGAAGCGTTACTGACCGTACTGCTGCTATGGCGCTTTTCGCGACATGGCGCCATAGCAGAGGCAAGGCGGACGACGGCAAGCGAGATCAAATGGCGGTAGCAGACGAATGTAAATGAAGTAAACAACACGGAGCACGAGAGGGCGCACGCGTGAAAGCGCTGTTAAAGTCCGCGTTTTAAAAGTTGCGCATGGTGCGTCGATGCAAGAGGCGCGTGCAACGTGCAGCCCTTGGGAAGATCATGGTGGCACAGCGCAGCACTGAGCTTGATTTCAGACGCCATGTTCTTCTCAGAAGTGGCGCACGGCTCGTGTCTCAAGCATTTCCACAACAATGAATGGCACTACTTTTCCTTGGATCGAAGGGGTACTGAACGAAACATTTCAGTGTCCATAATAAGCGGCGCAAGATCTTTCCACGAGCCAGCAACCGCCGGTGTGCGCGAGCACACGCAACGAAATTGACGTCATAGTCCTTCATTTTCGTTTAACATGACAGTGTAAGGTATAAGCTCCGGGCAAAAGGAGAATAAAGACAGACATCTCCAAAAGTGAAAGCTATGTGCTTTATAGATCAATTAATCGCCTACCTTTCACACCAGACCCCATTATGAAGATGAAAAGCCTGTCTTTATTCTTCTTTTCGCCGGAGCCCACACATTCGACTTTCGCCAACGAAGGCCCGCGTATGACGTCTTCGCTATTGGATCGCCGACCCGTCCCAAGCGACGCTGAAGCTCGACGAGACGCACTGCCGGCGATGCTGACGCAAGGGCAATTCGTGGATTTGACGACGTTTGTAGAGGAGGGGGAAAGGCCTTGTCTTTTAGGTGGTTCAGCCTCGGCGCCTTCGTGTGTCATACATTTACACGCCAACCAGTCCCCACATGAGACCTATATTTTGTCTCGCTAGAATGTTATTCTCTCGCATAACGAGCAAAGAGCGGGGTTAGGTGATGGCAGTGTTGGCGGTAAAGTGTTACAAATAACAGCGTTACCGGTAACGCGTTACTTTTTTGTGTTACGTACTCGTTATTTTTTTTTTTTTTTTCAAAACAGTAACGGGTAACGTACTCACGTTAGTTATTTCGAGGAACGGATAACGTAGTTACGTTTCTCGTTACTTCTTCCCAAACCTAAAAAAAAATTACACTTCCCTTGTTTTGTGTTTTTAGGCGCGAAGCCATGTGATTTTTTTGGCTTTTTGCGTTTTTCTTTGCGTTTGCTCTCGTGAGTATTTAGATGAAAGCGTAGAAAAGATAAAGTAATTATATTCAGTTTCTGCATGAATTTAATTTTTCTTGAACTATGGCGCTTATATATACCTGTACCGTCAAAACAATACAAAGCATTAATTTATAAACAAAAAAAAGTGACGCAAAAGTAACGTGCGTTACGTTTTATCGGTAACGGTAACGCTAACGCGTTCCTTTCATTTTGAGGTAACGTAGGTCGGTAACGCGTTCCTTTGATTTGCAAGTAACGTTTCCGTTACTTCTTTTCAGTAACGCCTACAACACAGTTGTCGAGCCACGCGCAGAGGGCGGGGTCAGGTGATGAAAGAGAGGCGGTTGATTGGTTCGGCAAACCGGTATCCGCAAGTTTCACGACCTAAAGAGGTCGCGCCGGCGCCTATCAAAATGGCTGTAATGTGGGTGGTGATCAACGAGGAACAGCAGAACGCGGCCAAATTTTGGATGTCCAAGCGATCCAAATCTTGTAAGATATGAGCATCTTTTAAACTTAGTAATATTATTTCATCTACGAGAAACGTTGGCGACAATCTTTATGTTAAAGGCTATTGCCCCAGAACTAGGGAACGTAACTGCCACACCGCGGTACCACCATAGCTGGAACTTTCGGATACCTCCCACCGCCCTGTCAACTTAGGGGCGAACGGAGTATAATGCCCGTTTCAGTTTTATCTTATCGGTGGCAGTGCTCAGAAGCGTACAAAGTCATTTAAAGAGTGGAAACCGACCTGCTAGCGATCTTGTGGCACTGATTTCATCGAGACTGAAGCGCTCAACAATATTTCATGTCACGCAGGCGACTTATCGCGTTCCGTTAATAACTTCCCTACAACGAGCTAGGTGAAGCGTCGGTAATCGTGGCTCGCAGCTGTTCTTGTCGTGATTTACTGAAGAAAAAAAAAATCGGACAACCTTCAAAATCGGCGCTTTATCTCGACGTGGCCTCATCTCGTCACATTTGTACATCTCCGCTCTAAAATATATTTGGGCTCTCGTTAAACGATTAAGATGCGATTAGAACTCCGCGAAAGGTAATTACCCAGAGGTATACACACTGCAATAATTGATCCCTCAATCGGAGGAGATAGCTTCCGGACAAACAACCACCGAATGATGGCTATATGCTCCGTTCCCCCCAAGTTAATAGTGCGGTGTAAGGTATACGTGTCCATTGTACCAGTCGTACCATTCGTCACGTGTCCACGCTCCCGATAATATCCACGCACAGAGAGCGCGGTCAGGTGATGGATGCGAGGACGTTGATTGGTCCGGCGAGCCCATAGCTTCCACCGCACTGTCTGCTTAGTGATAAACTGAGTATAGCAGGTTCTCGTTAAATCGCTTATATACAAAAAAAAGAGGACAGAAGTAAGCACGTGAAGTGACACAAGTTCGTGGCTCTTTGGTTGGCCAATTAAGAGCGACCATCGGCCCGCCAGGCTGTGTCGACCAATCGAAGGAAGCGACAGTTTCTTTCCTTAAAGGCACGACACGCTAATGACCTTATGACAGTTAGAGCTGCAATAGGAGATTGAACAATTGTTAAGAGGGATACCTCACTTAGTTATTTTGTGTACTAGACACGTGGTCTGGGTTTTAACAACGCGAGCGAGTCGTGCGCAGGCGCGATGTCCTAAAAGGAGACCTTCAACTGTAGGGTCAGCGCGGTCGGGTGGAGTATCTATATATATATGTATGCCACGGTCAGTTCAGTCGCCTCTGTTTGTCAGTAAATAGAGCTGCTGGAGGTTATCAAAAAAAGATGCCAAGCTTCCACAACGTGAGCCTTCGGATCACCGGCCTTACCGTAAGAGTTATGAAACGGCGCAATAGAAACAGACAAAAAAAAAAAAGCGGAAAGTTTTTAGGTATTGTCTTGAAATAGCCTGAAAGGACGAACTAATTGAACATTAATACGTCTATTTCATGTCAAATTATTTTTTTTTTCAAGATTCGCAAAACGGTCCTGTAGATATCTTGGCTAGACATTAAGGTTTAAGCC